ATAAGTCATTTTAATTAATGAAATGCTTTAACCATAGTCTCTGCCTACTTTAAGATTCTATATACCTGATTTGCTGTGACAGTTTCATAGTGGTACATCCCGGGGTTAAGTTGCCATCTGCAGAACTCCCCCCTCCAACCTCTCGTGATGGTTCCTCCTCCGATACCACCAAGTGGAGCACCTGCAAATTAGAGTATCAACTGGATTCAGTCATTTCCTTATTACTTTTAGGAGCTTAACTTGTCAAATTCAAGAGTTATAGTACTGTATGTTTTGGTGAAATATTAAAGAGGATGTAATATCACAAGCTCAGCACATTGTAAGATCCTGATCTCACCATATATTTGTCGCAAGGGTTGAGCACGAAACATATCAATGAACGGAGCTTTCTTTTCCACCTGGGTCTTCTTGTACCACCACTTCAGATACCTGGATGAACACACAGAGTATACAGTACAGTTACAGCACAGCACTGAATGCGCCCTAACTGCATGTGTTACTTTGAATAAACATGCTCATGATATTAAAATGCATTTGTAATTGGTTAACATGCTTTTTCTGCATGCTCTTTTTTTCTCGCTTGTTTAAAAAGGTAGCTTCAGACGTTTGCAAGCACCGGAACCAAAGGTGGACAACTTGCACACACGCACAGGCAGAGAGAAACGAGGGCATTGTGCAACTGCATAAAGGAAGCGCTTGTAAGATGAGGGGAGGGCTACTTTATCTGAGAGGTTAGCAGTGTGAGATGTGCATGAAATGTGAGTCTAGGTGCAGCACTCGCTATCAGAGCAGGGTGTAAAATATTAATTAGGCTAGGTTACAGCAGGTTACGGACAACTACGAGAGTGAGGGAGATCACAGTCATCGCGAGCCTTAATGATGTGTGAAGTGGTGAAGTCTCGATTCATATGCCTTATCAGTAGAAAGCTAGCTGATGCTGGGTTGAGGTCACACTTTTGTTTTAGTAGAAAGGCCATGAGCTCTGCAGAGAACCGGCTGCAATGTAATAAAAGCCCCTCATTACATTTATTCTGCTTCATTTGGCTCACGCTTTGCTCCTAGACCTTGAGTTCTTCTTCAAAATGTCTCCAGTGGGCTTTTTTAGCTAAATGACAAAAACACAAGATGTGATAAACATGTTTACGTTCCCACTGCCAAGAATGATCCTAATGTTTCTGCAGAAAGCTGATAAGGCGGTGAATGACACCAGTGAGAAAGCACTTACTAATGTTCTCACTTTGTCACTCCAAAACCAAGATCCAGTTTAATATGATGTTCGACAGATAAAAGCAGGATATCACCATAATTGATAGACTGGAACAGCATTGTTTTGCTTTAAAAATGACTTGAACGATGAATTGATCAATGAATCAAAATAGTAAAATAGTTTTTCAGTCAATGGGCTAACCCTCTATTCCACCATGTAAACGTATATTGATGATAAGAGGTCACAACTCTGAGAAGCTTAGTGCTCAGCATTCTTGTTTACATACAAAAATACCGAATAACATTTGAGCCACAGAGGGCTTTCTGCTTGTTGCCATGAACATCGATCCCATGCCAAATTGCTGTGAATGCCGGAGCAGGGCCTGAATGTATTGCACACGAACAGAAAAGCTCAGTCCAGAGAAACAACAGTGAGATGAATAGGTTTGGTTAAAGTGAGTAATTCAAAGCCATGGCAGGTTGCATTATAGTCAGGAAGGTGTTGTTCTGCAGCTCAGCTGAAATTCCAACAGTTAGACCTCACCCTGATAAGCTCTGAATAAAGGCAAAGTATGCAAACCTGAATCTAACCTGTGTGAGCTCAAGCTGCCATGTTCTCCACCAAAGACCAAACCTACCCACAGCTGGCAAGAGCTTGCAGCAAAAGGGCAAAGTTCCCTTACTAAAAGATATACAATCCCATTGTTCCTTTCTCCTTGAATGAGAGCTGTATGAGCTTGTTTCTTCTTGGTTCAGTATACTGTGCAAATAGCTCAGAAAATGTACAGTACATACATTGTTCCAACAGTAAAGGCTTCTTAAAAATGGGTTTCCTATTAACCCAGGTAGAACCTCCTACTACACAATCATAACCACCCCATTAGTCTGTGCAATAACTAACTAACTCCAAGTCTAACCTTAAGGTGAGAGTTGAAAAAGATTGTGTTTTGTTTCTCAGTTTGCACATGCCGTATGTGCAATATAACCACAACATTGCGAAGGATTTCTGTAATATGAAGCAAGTTTGTGGTTTAACGCCGAGTTAAAAACATCTACATTACCACACGTTAAGACAATGTGAACAAATGTAGAAGCAGTAATAGCAGTGATTTGGATGGATGTAAAAGCTTAAAGTTATTCAGTCAAAGTACATATCTTTATGGCCATCATCAACAGGGAGTATAAATCAGTATAAATCAGTATAAATCAGTATAAATCAGTATAAATCAGTATAAATCAGTATAAATCAGTATAAATCAGCGGAAGCCTGATCCCAGACAGATATTGACGGTCACAGAGACACGCTCTCACGATTGGAATGATAAGACAAATGTTGCTGGCTGTGTGCCGACAATCCACTGAAGCAGCAGCATGTCTTCTTCAGGAAAACAAACAGGATCAGATCAACAGATGTTGAAGTTAGGGTGACAATTCAGCTCTATATCTCTGAGAACTTTACAAGCATCATGGGTGTATGAGTGGGAAAATTGGTAAATCTCAATCTTGTAAGACTTGGAAGAGTAAATGTATTGAACCTTGAACTAAAAGTTGAGCTGGATCTAGGGTCAAATGCATGTCCATTACCTCAGTAAGGATGGAATGTAAGCACATACTTTTGATTAAACTGAACATTTACAGAGAAAACTTTGTGTCTTGATTGCCGTTTTTGCAAGAAACACAAAGCACTATCTTATCATCCCCACTGATAGACAAAGTTAAATGCTAGACTTTGTTGCAAAAGAGCCGTTTACTCTGTTAATCAGTTGCTACACCTATCTGGGTGAGACAAAAGCCAAGACACACAGCATTCATGCGTTATCAGTTTAAAATGCATACGAAAAAATGGGTATACTACTGTGTTGGTGCTTCTTACTGTGATAAATGCTGAAATGTATGTCATTGACAAACTGCTCTAAGGTAGACAGTTATTAGTTATATCATATTTAAGTTGTTAAAATTCTATTTGATAACTCGTGCCAGCCTTAACCACTTCAAGGCAGGATTACCTGCTCTCTGTCGTGGCTTGAGAAATATGACACTGCCAATGCCTCCCCAGGTACTCCTCTGTCAAAGCAGTCTCATGGGTTACATGGCATAGAAAGGTTGCCATTACATAAGATGGAGGTGTAAACTGAAAACACCCTGTGTCAATAAAGGAGCTAACCACGGTGTGCTCTGAGGCATAGTGTTGATTTAATGATTTTTCAATGACAAATATTTGTAGTCGGACCAGTTCATGTACCACAGGAAAATGGGTGTGGTGCTGTAGACGAGGTGGTTTTGATTTTAAAACTTGCAAAGGTAAATAAGTAACTCCCATCTCATTTAACCCATGAATGTCTCACCTGATCCCAAGCCCAACGTGCTCCAAGACGTTGGACAGCGAGACATCCTTTGCTTGAAAGGGCTTCCTCTTCTCCTTGAACTCATGTGCCAGACAGATACGCCAACCCTCCTTGGGAACTCCATATCCCATTTCCTTGGAGACATACCGACTCATAAGGTCCGCTGAGGATTTCTCACCCCACTCTGAAGTAGTCATTTTAGTAGGATACAGGTGAGGGGAGCTTAAAGAATGGATGGGAGTAGGAAAGCAGGAAGATCTCACCAACTTGATCAAAAGTCAGTTTATGCTTTCACTGGAGGTAGCATGGGAAATCTGCAAGTAGATGATCAAGAAGTCATTCCTGTGGGGTAAACTGGTTCTCATCCAACGAGCTCTGAATACCTGCATTTAAATAATTGCTCCCTCTTGTGTAATGTCCCAGTGCCATTATAATACTCTCAATATCCAGAAGAGAATTTAGCCTCTATAGCTCAGTATGTCCATATCCTCAGGGGCTAGTCTCTGGATTCCTGTTTTCAGAGGTAGCAGACCCCTTGGCCTCCTTTGCATGTAGTCCGGATGTTTTTCGTAATGACAGTTCAACAAAAGCCGGGACACCTACAATGACATCAAAGAAGATCAAATCAAATGGTTAAAAGGAGTGATCCCATCCATCTGGTAGAAATACAGGAGGGTCGATATCATGCAAAGCTACAAACTGACAACATTAGTTAATATGAATCATGTAACGTTAGCTACCCAACCGCTGGTTACAGTGGCAAACTTTATTAGCTATTAGCAAAAAGCTCGCCATTGACAGCAGTAGAGAAGAGTAAGTTATTTGTTGTAATACCAGAACGACGTCACTCCACAGCTGCTCCAAACCAACCTCTGTCTGCAGGACTTTAGCTTCTGCTGCTAGCGCGGTGCTCAATATGCAAATGATTTACATTTGTCGCTGTAAAATAACAAGAGTATGACCTCAGCTCTGTCTTTCAGGTGACCATTTCCATCAGGCTGCATTCGCACTCCCCTTGCTTTTACAAGATTGGCCGATCTAAACGTGAGCTTAGCTAGAAAACCCTTTTTAGATTACATATTTTGAAGGTTGATAATTGATGCTTGATAAATTAATATAAATTGATAAAGTCAAAATCAGTATTCCGCCTGGTAGTAAAGGAAGCCTGATAAGTGTGCCGCAGGGAAACACAGTGCAGGAAAACGGCAAAGCCGCTGCTGAGACTGTACCATTCTCAGTAGAAAGAGGGACATATATTAGTTAACACTTATACATTTCCACTACAATTGACAGCCATTGCTCCATGTGAATAAATATAAAAGTATAAAGACCGTATTGAAAGGATTCCTTAAGAATGTGAAGTGTTAGCGCACATAATTAAATGTTTCTTTTACATATTGAGTTTACGCCTCCCTACAAGTTACCATAGCAACAGTCCACCTCTCGCTAGCTGTGCCACGGGACGGCTTCTAAATGGTCGACCAAAAACGTTTACTGTAATTCTACACTGTCGTTTTATTTTGTAAAAAAAAGTTCGATTAAGATCAAGGTAAAACAATGATGATGGACAAAACATATTCTTAAAGAGAATGTTTTTTCTTCAATAGTTGTGATATTTATATATTAATTGTGTATCCCTTGGTCAGTGCTTGGTCGTACGGAGGCGGATGTGTTGTTTACTGTAGCTGAAATGCTAGCTAACCTCATACGCCATGTCTAGTACTTTGGGAAGGAGGGTATATTTGCTTTCTCGAAAGTACATTTAGGTGCTCCGATCTACAAGACAGCGTTTTGCCTCGCAACAGTAACGTTTGAGGCCAAGGTATGTATGTTTATATTGACCCTAAAATAGTAGCTTTTAGCTAGCAAGCAGTCCAAACTATTCAGCTTCTGTTTAGCATGTAGCGGTATGTGCAAACCTGTAGTGTTATCTTTCCAGAATAACAAAGCATGCTTGATCTCAGTGCATTATGATCGCCACATTAGTGATGTTATGTAGAAATGTAGTGTTTTTGGCGTCTAACGTTACAGATGATCGAGGTGGTGGCCTCCATGGCCCGAGGCCCTGTGTTTCTCGCCGGGGAGCTCATGGAGTGTCTCATAACATTCACCAACCCGATGTCCCACCTGTCCACCTCTGCCAGCAGGTAGGGTTTTACAACTCTAATGTATTTACTCATAATAGGTATGATCGTTTAAAACCTGTCTTTTGCCCATTGCTGTGTTCAAACATTAAGGTGTTCCTGAACCCTGAAAGCATTGATTTAGTTGATGTATGCAACATGCAGTGCCCATGGAGCCTGATAAGAGTTAAGCTATGTATATGTGATCCTTCGAAATGCCTTTTTTGTGTGTGCCTTGTAACACGATATGGACTATGTATGTAATGCAAAACAGTTAAATCAATCGTGTAACTAATCACTGTAGATACCCTTTTGTAACTTTGTGTTTTCTGCCTGTGTCTCAGTGAGATGCTGGCATGGGCCAGTGCTCAGATCCACTGCCAGTTTCATGCCAGTGAGAACAGAGTGGCTCTGCCGACCCAGGGCAACAAACACGATGTCCAGGCTGAGAGCAACACAGTGCTTGTTCCAAGCAGAGGTTAGTTTGGGAGAGGAAAAAAGCATAAATGAGTGTACATGAATGATCTGTTATGAATAAAGGTTCTGGATATTATAGCACTGTTGGTTAGCCTTATTGTTTTATTGGAATATGCCTTGAATCCAATCTATACTTTTTTTCTTCTACAGGAGAGCGGGGTCAATGTGTGCTGGACACACCACCTAAAATATTATTCTGTGACCTGCGCCTGGACCCCGGGGAGAGCAAAACCTGTATGTACATAGTGAAAAAAGTCTACATCCATACAAATCACTAGTTTTACAGTATAAAGTTATTGGATGCTTCATATCAAATGTTCCCCAAATGGTCGTGCAACATTTATAAATACACCATTTTCTTTCTGTCTATCAGTCTGACATGAATGCTCACTCTTCCACAGATTCATACAGTGAGATCGTACCCATAGATGGTCCTCCTAGTTACCGTGGTCAGGCGGTGAAGTACGTGTATAAACTAACCATCGGCTGCCAGAGAGTCAACTCGCCCATCAAACTGCTCCGAGTTCCCTTCAGAGTGCTGGTTCTACAAGGTCAGATACACTTTCGCCTACCCTTAAGTTTAGTTGCAAGCATTTTGCACAGCAATGCTTCCAGTGCTGATAACGTGGCATGACTTACACTTTAAAAACTCATGAGAAGTGATTACTGTGCTTAAACAAACTTTATTTAGAAGAATTAGAATGATAAAAACTACTACAACAAGAACTTGATAGCTAACATGATCCTGTCTGAACTGTAGGCATGCCAGAGCCTCCATTTCCCCAGGACGAGGAAGTTTGCCCCTCCAACCCTTTCCTGGAGGAAGAGGAAGCGAGCCGCAGGGATGCTCGACCTTTAGAAAGAGCTCTGGACATGCTGATGATCACCACATCGAGACGTTGCCCCCGTGAGTCTCATCGTCATCTCGCTTTTCTTTGCTGTATTTTGAAGCCATATGTCTCACACTAGTTGCCTTTAAAATACAAAGCATTATTCTTTTTTAATCAGTTTTTATTTTTGTCTTTGTAAATTGAACATTTTCAGATTATGTACGCTTTATGTTATCTATCATTCCCAAGTAAAAATGTAAGTTTAGAGCAATTAACAAAATGGTGTTGCCTCTCTTGCTCAATTGTTACATTTATGATGGCGAGATGTAAAAGGTGTACCTTTGTTTACCAGCAAAGCAGCTAACTTCAAGCTAGATTTGACATGTTTACCTATTATATGTGTCCTGGAAGATAAAAGTTAAAAAATATAGTAATAATAAAGATGTAAATAGTAATAGTGTTACTGTTTTAGTAATTGCTCTCAATCTCTAAATAGGACTTGTGAACTGAAGTCTTTACACTGGCTTCCTGTGTGTCAAAGAATAGATTTCAAAATACTGCTGCTGGTTTATAAAGCACTGAATGGTTTAGGCCCAAAATACATTTCTGACCTCCTGCTAAATGATGAACCATCCAGATCTCTCAGGTCTTCAGGGACTGGTCAGCTTTCTGTCCCCAGAGTCAGAACTAAACATGGTAAAGCAGCGTTCAGTTATTATGCTCCAAATATCTGGAACAAACTCCCAGAAACCTGCAGGTCCGCTGCAACTCTGACTACTTTTAAATCCAGACTGAAGACTTTTCTTTTTTCGCTGCTTTTAATTGAACTATTCACATCTTAAACTGCACTGTAACTTGTATCCATGTCTTTGTTTGCCTTGCCTTGTGTTCTCTACTTCTTATGTTTTCCACACTTCTTTATTTGAATGTCCTAGTTTGACTTTATTCCTTTTGCTTTGTCCAGACATGTTTAATATCACCAATATGCGTGGGAAAGTGGCAAAGTTCTGCATCTTCAAGATGGTTTACAGACTCGGCGAGGACATCGTTGGCACATTTAACTTCTCAGAGGGAGATATTCCCTGCCTGCAGGTGTGTTATCTCTTCTCGTTCAAGCACACTGTGGTTCATTTTGTTGTAAAATGTTACCTTATAATACCCTGTGTGTATGTATTCCAGTATTCGGTGAGCATTCAGAGTGAGGAGGAGATTCAGCAGCAGCACCAGCGGCACCCCGGACAGATCCTCAGTGTGACAGGACACGGGCGCCACATGGAGTCGTGCCTGCACACCGCCTCCAGCCACTTCTCTCTGCCCATCCCGCTCAACGTCACGCCGGGCTTCAGCACCGACATAGGTCAGTCATCTGTCGGCTGAAACATGTCAAATATGACATCTAGTGATATTTCAGATATTTTTTACCATACTTATAATAATAATAATTATAATAATATAATACACTGTGTTCTAGCAATCAAAAATGGCACCAATGGGGCGGTCTCTACTACATTGACTTCTACTGTAGATTAGTGTTGCTCAAAGGTTTTGACATGGAGAAGATTTGGGTGTTAGACATTTTATTAATATAATGTTTCATGAGCCATCATTAGACTAAATGTTACTGGAAATGACTCGAAGGGAAAACATGAATAAAGTGGAGATTTTAACAATTAACTGTTTGAAAAATGTAAATAATCATACTGTTAACTTAACTATCAAATGCATCTCTGCTTCGACAGTGATGCTGAGGTGGCGCCTTCACTTTGAATTCGTCACCGCCCGGGAGCCTATGGAGCCGCCCACAGTTCTGCAGAACCAATCGGAGGTCACCGTATGGGCAGGGGCGGAGCATGTGGACGTGGACACCTTCAGCTGGGATCTGCCTATCAAAGTCTTCCCCACCAACCCGGCCTTGGCATCCTACATGTCCCACTTTTCAGGGACCAACAGCATCACCATTTGACGTGTGTGTGTGTGTGTGTGTGTGTGTGTGTGTGTGTGTGTGTGTGTGTGTGTGTGTGTGTGTGTGTGTGTGTGTGTGTGTGTGTGTGTGTGTGTGTGTGTGTGTGTGTGTGTGTGTGTGTGTGTGTGTGTGTGTGTGTGTGTGTGTGTGTGTGTGTGTGTGTGTGTGTGTGTGTGTGTGTGTGTGTGTGTGTGTGTGTGTGTGTGTGTGTGTGTGTGTGTGTGTGTGTGTGTGTGTGTGTGTGTGTGTGTGTGTGTGTGTGTGTGTGTGTGTGTGTACATTTCAGGAGCATTATGTTTTTGTTGATTCCATTGTTTATGCAGAGCCAGTGATGGATTCCATATGTATATTATGCAACCTATGTTTTGCCTTGTTTCTTATGCATTGCATCTTAACCTTCTTTATTGTTGGACCTAATGACATGCAACTGTGTTCGTGGTTGCGGTGTTTTTCTGTATTTATTTTATTTTTGATCCCTTTACTCACTCGCACACTAGCTCTTTATCATATTAGGAAACAGCTGTTTCTTAATCCAAATGTTTTTACTGTTTTCCTGTTTTTCTTTCAGCTTGTGCAAAGGCTGCATAGAAATGTAAATACTACAAGAAAAAATCATTAAAAGTGTGATTTAAATTTGAAAGATTATGTGGGAGGAAGCCATTTTATTTTCTTCACAAAATTCAACATTCTTTGTTAAAAACAAGGTTTTTATTAAGAGGGTAAATGAGTTACAGCAGAGAACAGGTCAACAGGAATAGTTATATATATTAATGTACGCTTATATTTGCTTATATTTACAATGAGTCATTGTTGGATTAATAGAAGAAGCAAAAACATACTGAAAATAAAGATCTAAATATAGATGCTTACATTTTTACCAAGTTGTTAACATTTAATGCTCAGTGCTAAAACATATTTTCAGATAAACATTTCACTCACATTTCCTTCATTTATAATACAATCCAGAAAGAACAAATGCTGTTACGTCTTATATTGATACAGTTTGTGAATAAAGTGGTTACTGGTATTTAACCCTAGTGAGCACTGGTTCCACAGGCAAACAGCATGAACAGATAGCGGTGTCTGAGATGGTTTCTACCAGTCGAGCTGCTGCTGCTTCAGATCAAAGGAGCCGTGGCCGGGGTCCTTCATGCCCTCCCCGGGGGAGCAGGGCAGGCGGGGGTCGGCTGTCTGGACCAGGGACACGCTGCAGGTCAGCTGCTCCACACGCAGCTCACACCATGCGGGGAAGTCCACCGGCCGCTGCACCCTGGACCGATATCGAGGTAAAAGAGAGGAGTCAGCAGCTTTTCCAATCACTCAAAAAACACTTTTCCTTGAACTCTCCTTTTTTTTCTTTTCATTTGACAAATGTTGCACTTACAGGTTGCCAAATATCAAGAGAATCTTCCTAAACTAAACTAAAAGGGTTCCTTAATAAATGCACACAAACGTTGTTATGCCCTTAGAGATGCTATTCATCAAACAATAATAACAGTTCTTCAGCATGACCATTGTTCTGTGGAACCCTTACAGGTCAAACATTCAGCGGGTACTTAAGTCAAAAATGTACATAGTATTTTTAAACTGTATTATGCTATATTAATTCAAGTTCTGCCTGAATTTTGTGCATTTCCACAAGCGATCAATTAAGTATCTTGACATGTATTAATACATGATTCATTATTAGTTGATTTTATTTTGTATTATTAGATAACTTAGGTTATCAGATACATTTAGTTGAGGAAAAAGTGCAATATTTGCTAATAGATTGCTGTGGAGTAGAAGTAAAAGTTGCATTAAATGGAAATACTGCAGTAAAAAGTATCTCAAAATGGTCTATACGTGAGGAAATGTGCCTGCTAACTGTCCACCACTGTACCCACCGTTTTGATCCCCCATACCGATTTGCATCTAACCACATTTTAGGTTTTGTGTGTACTCACGTCTCGCAGCAGCCGACTCCCACAGGGTGCAGACAGGTGCACTGCATGCAGGCGTTGTCCATCCAGCTTTCCCCCAGCGAGTAGTTCTTCCCCTGGAACTCACACAGTGCTGCAACGGCACCAAAACAACTCAGAAACATTGCAAATATGTATTTCATTTTTCAAGTTACATTTTAGAGCATGGGACCTCACCTCTGGAGTTATAGTGGCACACCATGGGAGCAGCAGACCCAACGCTGGTCCACAGAAAGAAACCTGCAGCGGCAAGAACCCAGTTAACCCCGACGAGCTCCATCTTCATCTGGTCTGATCAGCTTCTGGTTCTTCTGCTCCTTCTGCTCCCTTATTTATACACATCCTGGGGCTTTACGAGCCTGGCGTGGAGGTGTGGTCAGACCATCATGCGGCCCACAGGCCTGGCGGAGGAAGGTGTCAGCGGTGCCATCCATTGGGGAACGAGGAGGTGGTGGTCTGTGTGGAGAGGGGAGGGGGGGTGTAAGGATCTTGGCGGTGTTTTGGCACTCCGGAGATCACCTCGCTGCGCTTCAGTGGGCATGAACTTCTAAAAAGTGATAGAAACAATGACACATCCATGTGGTGACTAAGAGAGGGAAGGGTAGGAGAGAGGTGAGGTGGAGGGCAGGGAGAGAGGAGAGAGAGAGGGATGGAATTATCAAACATGATTCATCACCATTCAACCTTTCATATGGTTTTTCAGCCAGGTTGACGTCCAGTAACTAAAGATGTGTCTAATGCAGGTCTCAATCCTGTCCCCAGAGCCCAGAGTAAACGTGGAGAAGCAGCGTTTCGTTTTTATGCTCCATAAACCTGGGGAATTTATTTATTTTTAAATCAAGTCTCTTATTGGCCAGTGCCTTTTATTAAATCATTGTTTTCCTTTAATTTCATAAGCTGCCTGCACTCTAACCTTTATTCTTATACTTTATATCCATCTTCTTCTATTTTAGATGACTTTCTATTTAGCTTTTTACTTTCGTTTGCACATTGTCTCGTGGTGAGCACTTGCCTTGTTGCTAAAATGTTACATAAATAAACAGACATGAACTTTTCTTCCCTTAATGTACATTTAAAACACATGCCTGATACACTAAAAGTAATATATCTAATGTCTACACTCAAAATATAGAGTAGAAAGAGCTTCACGTGTCTCCACCAAAATCCTCAAGACACTAAATGAGGGAATTTCTTTCTTAGGATTTGATGTTCATTCCTCCAGTAGAGTAAATGTTTAATTTCACACCCATCTGTACGTTTAACCACACTGCACACATACATGTATATGCATTTCTGCTATAACCTCTGACCCCTACCTCCAGAATGACCTCATATTAATGATGTCACACTGTTAACTCCAGTCTGTGACCTCATGCCAGTCCCATTCAACCCATAAGGAATGATGGATATGCAGAGTGTTAAGTAAGAGGAAACGTATTGAATCATATTTATGTAATTGCTTTAATAGAGTCGTTTTGCCGCTATTTCTAGGTCAAGAATTAATCGTCAAGCTTAAAATAATAAAAAATGTTATTTCTTTATCCCATCTCTTATCACAAAAGGTGTGTGCTTGTTTTCATAGTTTGGCCTATATGTTTTCGATAAACCCAAAATCCATCTTCCACTGGTCTTTAGTTTGCTGTATGTCGTGCACACGTGTGCATTTCTGTGTGATCTTAAAATATAAGATGTGATCTGACCCTGACTAGTCAGCATAGTGTCGCTGCCTGGGGCAACAAAACATTAGCTCATCTTCTTCCAGTTGTTTGCTGTCTGAGGTGCGAGATCATAGGGAAAAAATCCTCTCCAGCCTCTCACAGGAGGCCCCGGGGCCTCTTAACGTGGTGGTTTACGTGCTTTTTCTCTCGTACCCCTACAGTAGTCGGAGAGTGTTGATAGGCCTCATCAGTCCGGGGTGCTTCTTCATTCATTGGATGTGTATGACTCACAGTTGCCTCTCTCAAGCTGTATTGGTTCTATGAAGACTTATTGCAGTTAAAGTATTGGTGCCCTTGACATGAGTAATACACAGGTAACGATAAATATCTAACCTGATAGCAGAGATGATTTGAGGAGGCCAGCGGTCGGTTTCAACCTTTGATTGATCTTATTCTGATGCTGTTTCAGACGTTGGAAGATGTTTTATTGGCAGATGTTCTTACATCAGTTCAACTCGGGTGGTGCTGACCTCTTCAGCGCCTGAGGGTCCCATACAATATCCCGACGATGAGTTCACAACCTGATTTGACAACTGGTTGTCGTCAATGTGGAGGAAAAGGGAGGACCCCATAAAACAAAAGATGAGGATTTTCCTTACAAACGCCTGTTGCCCTTCACGGATATGCATTTCATTAGGGACAAGTGCGTTTGAATTTTGGTGACCTTTCTGTGAAATGAAAGTTCAAGGGGCTGTCATCATGTTTTGATGGGAGTTTTTAACATAATACATATTTTCCATATAGACAAACTGCAGCCTTAAAGTCCAGTGAACTCATGCTATAAAAACCTAATCTGCATATTTCCACAGCTTTATGTTTCTTCAGCAAATAATTAATAATACACATACCAATTTCAATGCAATTTTTTGTTTAGAGTATGCCCAGTTCACATAACCTAAAACGTGGTGTATTTAATTAGATAGCCTACACTTTATTGATCCTAATTTGGGATTTTATTTTTAGTCACAGCAGATAGATAAGACATTGCACATGAATTAAAGGTCAAATGAAATACAACAGGAAAGATATATATCGTTAGTGGAATATAAACAAATGACTCCACCTTTTTTCTTCATTTGGGTGGAGAACAGGTTAATGTGTGTTTGGGCTTTGCTGCTCCACTCTTCGGTGAACTGTCACTTTAATAAGCGTATTGTTAACCCCGCCTCTTTTCTACTTCCTCCTTGGTTCTATCAGACTCGACAAATCACAACACGATACAATGATTGCCTGTTGAATTTATCTACCGTGCTGTATCGAGGATTGACTACTCTGGCCTGGCTGTAGGTTTTTGGCTGAAGCTGTGTTGTTGTGTGTAGCTTATCAAAAACATTAAATCATGCCCGGTGAGACAGCGGTTAAAATAATGTCTTTACCGTGAATACACACCGTACAAGTTACATTTTTAAACTTGTCTACACGCTTATAAATTAGCTTTCCGTGTGAGAGGTAGTTTCAAACGGTGTTTTTGTGCCGAGGCCTTGTCGCAAACCCAACCGTTCGCCAAGTCTCGTATAACCGTCCGGGATTTCATGTTGTTCAGGTTTTTTATTAAAATTAAGTGTTTTTCCGTCGGAAGATGGACACTGATAAATTCAACTATGTTTACAGCTGTGACATGGACATCAATGTTCAACTTAAGATGTGAGTGTTGTACTTATAATGCGTCGCTTTTGTATCCAGCAGTGTAACTAATCTATCTTGTGACTTGACAGGATACTTGGTCTGTTTGTGTGTCTGTGAGTGTTGGACGACATGTGTGTATTTGACATGATTTTATGACTTTAAGCTTTAAAATACGTCATAAGACACTGTTTATTTATCGGAGTTTAATCAAACAGACAGCGACATGCGTTAAAATGTGTATGGAGATGTATTCCTACCCTGTGTTTCAATCACTTTTTCCATTTATTACTGGACATAATAGGCATTCATTTTGATGATTAAATAAGTATTCATCTGGCCAACATGTAATCATTTGCTGTTGCTCTATGATTTACGTTGTAATAGTAGAGGCATTTTATGGACAAACTAATTGATTAGTGGAGAGAATAATATATACGTTTATTGAAAATGATCATATTCTTTATTTTTATTTCTAGTGTGACCTATATCTGTAAGAAGAGTAAGCCAATACTCACATGTGAAGCCAAAACTCTCCATAGTAGCCTAATAGGATACATTTTAAATCCTAGAGGGGGGGGCTTTACAATAAGCCCTTTGTGGTTTGTAACCTCTCTTAAACAATGCGTTTGTTATTATATAATGTCTCTTTAATCACTTCCTCCATGCACACCACATGAAATAAATAATCACAATGTTGTGGATTTATTAAAGTTGTAATTAACTGTCTTATAAGTCTGGTACAGAAATGGGTTTTTATCATGATTAGCAAGAATATCAACATAATGTGATGAGGTAACATTGATTTTAAGTTACCAACAATCTTAAACCTGCCAAGAAAGTTCATTAATTTGACTTATCTGTAAGTGAACAAGTGAGAGCACTCTTGAAAGCATCAGAAAACAACGTCTCCCCTTCCTAACCGCCCTCTCTGTCTCCTCTCTTCTTCCAGAGGCAGTTTAGAGGGGAAACGAGAGCAGAACAGCTACAAAGCTCTGCTGGAAGACCCCATGCTGCGGTTCTCCGGCCTCTACCAGGAAAACTGCTCGGACCTCTACGTCACCTGTCAGGTGTTCGCTGAGGGAAAACCTCTCGCCCTGCCCGTCCGCACCTCGTACAAAGCGTTTAGCACACGTTGGAAGTGAGAACAAATCTGTCTCTTTTCTTATTTCACTCACTTAGCAGACATACCCCTTTTGATGCCATTGTAAACATCTTTGTAATGTTTGTTAGAAAAATGTTCACTTTCAAAAGAAATTCCTTCTCAGGAAAATACTAATTTATTTTGCCTTCTTCAGAGCTTAAAAGACAGCACCTAAAAAACTTGCAAATCCTTTTTTTTACCGTTGTTAAATGGTAGTTCTTCTGACATGTTTCTCTTTCTTCTTACACTCACCCCTCTACAGCTGGAATGAGTGGCTGCGGCTGCCCGTCAAGTACCCAGACCTTCCCCAAAGTGCCCAGGTTGCTCTCACAATTTGGGACATATATGGACCCGGCAGAGCGGTCCCAGTTGGAGGAACCACTGTCACCCTGTTTGGCAAATATGGGTCAGTCTAAACTCGTTAATGACTGTAAAAACATGTTGGAATATTCTTTATTTTGGCACCAGGATGAATCATTACTTCACTTTACAGCTGCACTGTGTAAGATTTGAATGTACAAGTTCAATTAAACAAACGTGATTTTAAAACAGCTCCGCCTGTTGTCTTCTAGTATGTTCCGGCAAGGGATGCATGACCTGAAAGTGTGGCCAGGTGTGGAGGGGAACGGAGGCGAGCCCACCACCACACCCGGACGCACCAGCAGCAGCCTGACGGAGGACCAGATGGGCAGACTCGCCAAGGTACTGTATGTCTGTGGACAGGAGGATTAAGGATTGGGGAGAAAAGGGATGTGGTGTGTTACCAAACGGCTAAAGGAATGGATAAGGGAAAGGAATACGATTAGGGACATTGTGTGTGTGTGTTGGAAAAGGTGGACAGATGTGTCTAAATCATCATCTGTTCCAGGGCCCTGACCTGGAGACACTAGGTGATGTGAGTACAAGAGGAGGCGTTAGTGTTGGCACTGCAGTATTTGTGCGTTTGTGTACTGTATGTGTGTGAAACAGGCCATGGTCCAAACGTATTTGCAAAAAAAACTCTTTTCCATCATTCACTGCTTAAATGAGGATTATCACATACAAAATAAAAACCTATTTACTGCAATACCTTTTGACTTTTGTGTGAACACTTGTCTGTCAAGTTGTACGGCTTCTTGAAAGCATCACACACATTGGGTTTTGAATTATTTTCTGCTGTTGCCATAGTGTGTGTGCATGTTTCTGTTGTTTATTTGGACACAAGAACGTTTTGGCCAACTTGTTGCAGCTTTTTGGAAATATGTATTGGGGAGCTCGTTTGATTTGAGTTAATCTGATTGGATGTTAACTATTTCATTCACAAAATACATTCAGATATAACTTTATCAATCCTGAGGGCATAGTGCCAACTCTAATTAGGGCTAGGCTTCCTGTTCATGGCCCAATGTGTGCTTACACCCCTGACCCCCCCACTGGTGAGTTGATTGGCTGCTGAGTGTGTGACCAGAGACGCTGGATTGGCTGCTGGCACTGGATTTGTGCATGATTGGGCGAGCTGTTTGCACATCAGCCACCATGCTGCGACCAGTTCTGCCGCTACAGAAATCACAACCTCTGTATTGAGACTTTTATATTTTTGTTAACCTTTTTTCGTCCTCCCATCCTCCTCCATTTCTCTCTCCATGCAGCTGACGAAGGCCCATCGACAGGGCCACATGGTGAAGGTCGACTGGCTGGACCGTCTGACCTTCAGAGAGATTGAGATGATCAACGAGGTGAGTGGGTTTAGCTGGACTCTGTTTCAAAACAGAGCTTTTTTTGATCCTGGAGTAGAAGAAGGCGATGTTGCCTCCACAACTAAATAATCGTAACCACTATTTAATAGAATGCCATGACGATTTTGAAAGAAATGCATTGTTCTCCAGAGGACGAAACCTCAGGACTGCTGACTTTTTACTAATTAGCATTTGATCATTAGTACTAACACTGTGCACAGACGATTGTAGATTCTTAGGTTTGTACTATGTTATAAACACAATCAGAGTCATACATGCAATCATGAACCGATCTGCGTAATGTCAGAAATAACCATTATGACCCGGAAAGTACAGATTCAAACTTGTTCAGTATTTGTAAGGCAGGGTTTTCTGAGCTATTTTAAGTGGCTATCATTTATTATTTGATGGACGATATCAAGCCTTATAGTGGGTGTTATCTCATTATTTAGCTATCTGTCCCGCAACTTGGGGGATAATATGTCAATGTTGTATCCTACTAATTCTTTATTTTGTTCTCCATGTGTGTGTCTCCGCAGAGTGAGAAACGCAGCTCTAACTTCATGTACCTCATGGTGGAGTTTCCCCGCGTCAAAACAAATGACAAGGAGTACAGCATTGTCTATTACGAGAAGGTATTATTTCTAGATGAAATTCAACATAAAACATGTCTAAAACACACTGGAAGTGACGACACTGATGGTGTCTTTCACTCTGTCCCCTCTCAGGATGGAGACGACGCATCACCTGTTCTCACCAGCTGCGACATCGTCAAAGTTCCTGACCCTCAGATGGCGATGGTGAGAGGACACACACATACATAACCACACAATACAACAAATAATATATGGTGGCTATGTGTAATGTGCAGAAAAAGTAGATACTTATTCGTTTAGCATTGCCCATTAATGTACATATAATACAATATTTAGCATGGTTAATCTATAGTGTATAAACCTATATATTCAGTATTTTACAATGAATGTTTTTTACAGGAGAACCTGGTTGAGAGCAAGCATCACAAGCTGGCTCGAAGCCTCCGCAGCGGGCCATCGGATCACGACCTGAAGCCCAACGCTGCCACGAGAGACCAGCTCAATGTGAGTGATGATTCCTGACAACTAGAAAAAGTGACTTAATTAACCATTAAACTCTCCAACAGAATCATTATCATCATCTAGCTCTGCATTCCTGTGCTCTTACAGTGAATGTTAAATGTAACTCAGCTAAGAACAACAGTTTTAAAGCACACAGATATACATATTGCGCTCTGGGTGTCACGCTCAGTTAAAGTTGTTTCATTTTCAGGATCAAAGAAGGATATGAAAGCATTTTAACCTGCAGATAAAGCTTTTATGAAACCACTATCATATAGAGCTGTGTGTGTGTGTGTGTGTGTGTGTGTGTGTGTGTGTGTGTGTGTGTGTGTGTGTGTGTGTGTGTGTGTGTGTGTGTGTGTGTGGTGTGTGTGTGTGTGTGTGTGTGTGTGTGTGTGTGTGTGTGTGTGTGTGTGTGTGTGTGTGTGTGTGTGTGTGTGTGTGTGTGTGTGTGTGTGTGTGTGTGTGTGTGTGTGTGTGTGTGTGTGTGTGTGTGTGTGTGTGTGTGTGTGTGTGTGTGTGTG